TAACTGTTTGCTAGTCTGTGTGTTTACGCCCATCTCTCTCTCTCTCTCTCTTTCTCTCTCTTTCTCTCTCTCTCTCTCCATCTCTATCCATTTAACTACATATCTCTATCTCTATGCATATCTATCTCTTTATTCCTCTTTCCTTGAACTGAATTAAATTATTGTAATTCAGAAAGGAGAACACTGGGAGGGGGCAGAGGGTAGAGAAGGAATGGAGAGAGAAGGAAATGGGGGAAATGGCAGGAAAGGAGAAAGAATAGCGAAATTGTGTAGATTTAACGCCTCTTTCAACACTTTAGGGTTATTTCAGAGGCGGAAATATCGGTTCCGATAGGAGTGGGCCAAAAGGGTGGAGAGTCTTAAAGCGCAACACAACCAAAGTTCAGACCGCCCTGTTGGGGATTCTAAAGAGGGCCCTTGTCAAAGACATCAAACTGTCAAACGAACCATAGCTTCTTTACTTTTGTCTGACTGCGATTATAAAAAGACACAAAAACAAATCGCTTTCTTTACTTATCTCAGATCTTTGAATGAAGGTGTAACAGTGGCAGACAGCAGAATAAAATAATAGCCCTTTAATGAAGGTCACGGCAAACTAAGTTCCGAGACGTTTTCTTTGGTATTCGCCAAAAACGGGTAAACAAATTGTGGAGTGAATTATAGCTTTCAGCTTTTCTGATCAACACCACACTTTAATGAACGCCTTTGAAACACGGTCCAACATATTATGGGTGATTACTTATCGGGGCACACGTGGAGATTTTAGACAGTATGACGGGAAAATCTACAGTTAAATGTTGCAAGATGGTGTTGCTTTGTCCAAATGAACAATTTATAAACAAGGTTATTGTAACTAATTTGTTTTAGTGATCCTGTGTATGCAACCAAATGGCAGTATTTAATAAAGGCCCCAAATAGAAACTTTTAAAAAATACGGAATCACTAACTTTTGAAAAAAAATCATTTCTCTGATCGTTGGCCTACATGAGTACCATGGACAGTTTCATGCGCATGGGTTAATTATTAATAAATGAGATATATAATAATTTTTTAAAACAAGGACAGATAAACGAGACCAAGCAATAACGGTGCGCCCGTGACAGGAGAATAGGGTGGTGGTTGACCTAGGGGGTGGAGGTGGGGGAGACGGGTTGCCCTCTCTCACAACCGGCACCAGCCAAAACCGTTATACTCTATGGACACGAACGAAAGAAAATGCCCCGCCTGGGCGAATGAGTGAGCGAGCAAGTGAGTGAGTGAGTGGGTGAGTCTCGCTCAGCGCGCGCGGGTAAGCAGCAGCATCAGCAACAGTTGTAAATGTCCGTTACCTCCTATCTATCTGGGGGTACAAGCGCGGTACTGTTTTAAACGTAAAGGTGATTGCCGTACCCCAGTGTCATATTGACGGGTCGAGTCCTCAGTCTGTGTTTGGGGACTACAACAATTGGGTCGGCTGTCAGTTTTTGGAGGACTACGACGGTAACTGGGCCTTGTTATCGGGCCTGCTTTATAGAAAGTTGGTGAACCAGTGACAGTACGGTACAGCGTCCCTGTGTTGTATCTACACCCAGACAACCTAACGGACGTGTTTCCATTTAGACAATTAGATACCTATATATGTCACAATTTGCTTAATGTCTGCGCGTACTTTTGTTATTACGTAATAGAATTCTGACAGAGGAAGTCAACGTTTTTCCGTTTGGTCGGAGTCATTTGGTGGGCTTTGTTTGTGCTATTAGCACAGATTTCCCTCAGAAGATTTTCATTGTGGTCGTTTTAGAGGGGAGGAGGTGAAAGGGAAAACACTGACAAGTGGAGGAACAACTGCGTTCAATTGTGCCTCGTCAGTATCGGATTGTACAGGCTTTGAAAGGTGAGGACTGCACTTACATGTAACATTATTATTTTTGTTCTCATTGTTTAGATTGCTCTATAAATTTCTGGATTTTAATAAATGTATTTCCCATTAAAATAGATAATAATAATATTAAGTTTGATAATTAGCAGGACAATAGCCATTTGTGTGTCTTGATTATTTTTTGGGGGTTAAAAATATGATCTAACGGGGGTTACCTCTTCTGCATCCGATGGTCTTTCGAATAGATGAAACTAGATTTTCTGATAACATGTAGAAAGGTCGTTCAGCCATGTTCGTTGCCCTTGCTAAGAAGAACTGTGTTTGTTTGACTGTTTTCGTGTGTTACATCCTGGAAAAAAGTTGGGAGTCATGTGGTCTTGGAGCATTATTTTACTAGCTTCTTTCTTTCTCTCTCGTCCCTCCTCCTTCCTCTCTTTCTCTCTCTCTTTCTCTCTCTCTCTCTCTCTCTCTCT